GCTCAATTGTATACGTGCGGCTGACTTTTCAAATGTTATCGATCGTCGAGACGACGCGGACAATGAGAAAAATAATGTGTTTTATGAACATTAAAGCTTGTAAAGATTTTATAGTAGACCCCTGAAATAAAAATGATCATAATACTTTCCCTTTAAAAAGGTGCAATGTAGAGAATTGAGACAATTCTCCACATGTTGAATAAGGCTGGACATTTAATTGAAAAGTAATCGAAACGGATATTCAGAGCCTATAACCCACGTAATTTAATCCTGCTAATATTGTGTGTTCATGTTCATCCCCTTTAAGCAACGCATGTGTAGACACGTGACTCTGCCCCGTCGAGTCCTGCTCAGCTTTCAGACCAAAGTCTGAAGCAGAGGGAGATGTCAGTTAGCGCTAACCGCCCTCAGTTTCCAGCAGTTGTTAACGGACACACTGTGACCTATACTGTAAATTTACTGCCAGACTGACAACTTATTACTCGCTCGCTTTCAGCGTCACTTTCTGCCGCTTTCTCTCTCTCATTCGCTCCTCCACTCACTCGCTACACAAAACACGTCGCACTGCAGTTAAAAGACCTAAATCTGCTGCTCTTATAACAGCACCTGTAATGTAGACGTCCTTTGACGAATGAGAAGAGGAAGCTAGCAAAGAGTGATTTACCTTGCTCACACAGTGTACGGGTCAAAATCATTTGTTCCACATTGATATTAAATAACTGAGTGAAAGTTTAGTAGCATCGGCCGTAATTCAGCAGCAGCGATGTGCCGAAAATAAGGGAACCATGTCTCTGTAATGGGCACGTCAATATTACAGTATTAATTGACATTTAGATCATGGATTTGTGAAATTTGTGAATAAATAAACCCAGCTTTAATAGTTGAGTATATTTACAGTACAAACCTTCTCAGTGAAATGAGCACAAAGAAAACAAACAAAAAAAATATAAGTGTTCAATAATCGTAATCAAACTGAAATGTTTAATTAATCGTGATTTTGATTTTTAGGTGAAATCGTCCAGACCTACTGTCGAATTTATACTCAGTTTTTCACATAACTGGTCATAACTGCCGTCAGGTAGTGAGCTCAGTTAGTTGTGGAGTTAACTTTGCGGTCCTGTAAGCTGACTGACTCCAGAAATAGAAGACGACCCGGAGCCAGGCGAGCGGGCAACGGCGCTCCCAGTGAACCAGGACCAAACACAGCCAGTAACATGTAAACTTTACTGAAAGACCCCAAACTGAGCTGTCACGCAAGCCATCATGTTGCTCTACATGATTCGTCTGCTTTTTTTCCTTGCTGATGACAGCTCCTCCATTGTCGTTCTGCATTGTGTTGGGGTAGTGCTTTATACCACTCTAAAAACGTAAGCAACTATAATATGCCCGTTGGCCTTTTTAAGAATGTCAGGTACTATCCCTTAGGCTAGAACATTACATATGTTCATTTTGAACACTGCTACTGTAAAAAAAAATAATAACCCTAACCCAGTATGACTGATAGCTGAATGCATTACAACTGCCTCCAGGGATCAGTTCAACCTTTTATCCTAGTCCTTTATGCTCCTTGCCTCTGCATACATTCACACATGTGCACAATCAATCACCAAGCAATGATATATCCAGACAATGCTCGTCAGGAATCTGTTAGGGTACATGTCAACAGGTTCATCTTACCATACACCGAGCTGGTCAGCATAGTAAGAGTAAGAACACAATGCTACTTCAGCAAGCCTTAAATAGATAGATATCAGAACATTTACCAAAATTAAAAATCAGGTTTACTGGTTCTTACTGTGCATGTCTTGCAAACCTCGTCTGTCAGTAATAACAGGGTTTACTCAATCTTTCATTTGAGGCAGCTGAGCCCTGAATTGAAAGCAATACACCAACTAACTGTTGGAAACGCCCACCTATATCCTTGCATTCATTGGCAAACAATTTAATTACTACTATAGCGCAGACATCTTCTCCCTAAGCCACAAAGAGTATGGAGTACTCAAATGATATTATTTGCAATCCACAAACATAGTGTCATCAGATTACAGATGCAATGGTTAGTCAGTTAGCCAATTAATCACGTTAGTTACTACATTAATAATTAATTACTACATTAGTTGAACATTTGTGCCCTTTTCATTAAAGCTGCAATTAATGACTTCCAACATGTTCAAACTATATCAAAGACAAAGGAGCAGCTGTATGTAGCATTTATAGTTGTTTCACCTTCTTATTGTTGGTATGCAGAGAAAAGGTCACTGACCAGGTTACGTGAACGTGAATATATCATTGAACGAACTGATTAAAATACAACGCCCTTTCTTTATAGCAGTGTATGTACAGAATCTTCCACCACTGTAAATGTGCCCTTTACACTCCACAATACAAGTGGATGGAGCAATATGTTAATTCAAACAAAAGATAGCTGAGGCAAGAAATGTTTCTCTAAATTTGACTATTTAAATTTATTAGAAACTAATGATAATTCATCAATAATTAATTTATCAAGCAAAAATTCCAAATACTCACTAGTCCCAGCTTCCTTAATGTTAAGATTTGCTGCTTATCTGTTTTACATATCATTGTAAATGTTTTAGACTGTTAGTTGGACAAAATAAGCAATGTGAGCACTTCACCTAGGACGGTCACGTTTTACAAAGTACACGATTAATCTTAATAATTAGATTAATAGAAAACGTCAGTTACAGCCCCAGTTTTAGTAATGAACTGCAATGATAAACGATTTCTGTGATGACATTCAGTGGTATTCAAATATGGCCACCTCGTTGTTAAACATCACTGACTTTCCAGCTAGTCTAACCACAGAATTGTTCATATCTGCTGGTCTCAAAAAGAAAATGTTGGTCATCAAGTTGAGGGACTGTGGGCTGCACACAAGATAGTGAATCTGGAAGCTACCATCTGTAAGCATCTGATTCACAGACCTGATGACCAACTCATTAAGGGGTTCAAACCACATGTGAATGAACTGCTAGAAAGACAACAGTCTGTTATAGAACCACTGACTCTCGTAACATTAAGTGACTCCAGCTTTCTTTAGTCTGACAGTTTTACGGCCGCATTGTACAACCCACCATTCATACACATGAGACTGCGCTCAACGCATGCCAAATGCCCCCCACCCACTCAGCATAGCAGACAGGGGTCAACTTTGACTAAAGATGAAACTGAACTAGCAAATACTTTGAAGACTGTGATGGATGTTTAGCTCAGTTCAGCGTCACTTGTTTTTTTTTTTAAATTACTGCCACCAATGTCCTGTAATTTGTGATTGAATTTCTCAAGGATGACCATTGTCCTTGCATTTAATATGCCTTCATCTAGGGGGAAGCAATTCAGCCAGATGCTTCTTGATCTCACTAGTCTTCTAAAGAAGACGCCTTTATAATTTGTGGTAAAATCAATATGACTCACGTTGTTCAGCCCAGTGAAGGGAAGGATTCCTACTAGAGGTTAGCCTATAATTACAAACAGCAAAAATTCTACATGGAATAGTGTACTTTGTCACATCCCGGCAAAATAATATTTGAGCTGTGCAGTTTACTTACACTGCGTTACTCTGCTGAGGGCCACGAACAGTAGCATCTCAGAAATCTCTTTAGACAGATATGGCTTTCTCAACTGATAGGGATTAATAGTCAATGGCTAAAGCAGGTAATACTACCCCCGCAAAAAAAGATGACTGCGAACAGGATTCATTTCACTGATAATAGAATAAGTAAATTATGCCTTAAGCATTTTGTGTAATCCTGAGGCTGCATTTGGTTTTTGTATTCTGAGTTGTCACAGTGAGTTCAGTTATACCCTGAGGCATCTCTGCTAGTGCTGACCTAAAGAAAATGAATCAAGAGTTTTGATAATCATTTAAACTCTTTATCAAGCAAAGATGACCAATATTTGCTATGTGTAATTAGATTTGCTGCTTTTCTATTCTTTTATTAAATGTCTTTGTAAACTAAAAAGACAGACATCAAAATTTTCCCAATTCTGTAGAGGGAACAATTATTGTTTAATCAAACGTTAACTCAAACTGAACCTCGAAAAGGAACCACATGTTCATTATGAGCATAAGTGAAGTGCATAGATGTCGATATGTGCAGACATTTAATGTAACGTATGCAGAATAGACGCTACACCTAATTTCAAGCCGACACACTGTGACAATTTTCAAAACACAGCGCAAATGCAGTACAAAACAAATTAGTGCCATTCCAAAAATACAATTGTTTTTGCTCATAATGGTGGCTATAGCCTGGGAGGAAACAGCCCCCATTGCGCAGGCATTTGTATTTACCACCACTTCTGAGTATGGCATGCACTAGCAGTGCACAGCATTCCTGCGATAGCGAGTAACGCCAAAACAGCCATGGTTGGACAAAAATGGTCACACTCAAACAAGCTTAAGACACCATTTTGAAAATCCAACGATTTCTAGATAACAACTCCGCGATGCCATCTTGCCAATTATCACCAGATTAGCCACCGTTAGCACCACTACCGAACCATTCAGAAGCAAACATCCGAGAATCTATGCTGGTCACATAATACTAACGTTAGCTTAGCTTGCCCGCTAGCCTGAAAAGACAACAGCTAACCGTAGCATCCCTGCATCCCTCGGCACACGCTACTCAAATAGCTAATTAGCGAACTAGCTGGGCAGAGATCAGCAAATGATAAAGAAAAAACATCCACACAAGGTCAGACCGGACTGCACCGGGAAAACCAGCTGCTAATTTTACCACCTGGCCGCAAACCACTACCGTTAAAACCCGTGCCGATGCGACAACTAGCTAGTATCAGTTAGATTCCGCTATATGTGAAGTAGCCCGTTTAGCTTAGCTTGCTAGTTCCTCCACTGTAGCCACCGCGGAGGACAATTGAAGGGATACGGAGGGAAAAAAAGACAGGAAAAACGAACAACTAGCAAGTCGACACATGGACACTCCTGCCCTCCATAATAAACAGAGGAAGAGACTTACCAAAGTCACTCTGTCGAACAAGAAAAGATTCTCCTATGTGCGTACGTGCTTTCTCCCGTGTGTCTGCTCTGCCTCAGGTCGGTGCGGACTGGCTCAGCTACAACAACGTTTTGTCGGGCCAGTGGCGCAGGGAAGACAGCTTTCACCCGAAGAGACGGTCACAGTGTGTGGGGGATGGGGATGCACTGCCGGGAGGGAGAGACGAAGGGAGGGATGCAGGGATGCAAGGAAGGACAGAGGAGGGGGCAACCGATAACATAACAGGCTTTAATAATAGCCACATTCAGGCTTAAATAACAGCCAAATCATCATAATAATATGTAGATCAGTATGTTTCGGACCGCACAAGAAAAACAGTACATTTGCGACGGAATGGCCTTAGTTTCTGTTGTTAATTTTGACTGATATTAATATGGAATATTTTATTTTAAGCGTTAGTGCAAATCGACTATTAGTCTGCTGATGATGTAGCTGAAGGAAGTCTAACTGATACACTGTTAATGTTGATCATAAATGTTGGTTCTTTGTGGTTTTTATTGATTGAGTCCGATGTTTTAGTGCCAATGATAAATTACTCTCATATCAGAATGTCGTTGCGTGTATTATTATTGTTATTATTATAATTCCCAGGAGTAAGGCACGCTGCTGTAGTGCATGTCTACAAAAGCATGTTTTGTAATCAACATTTCAAGGCAGGAAAGTGTGTTATTTGTTCAGCAGCACCGTGGTGGTGAAACGGTACTGCAGCATAGCTGGAAGTTCACGTCCAATAATTCAGATTCAATGGCCTTCAGCTACAACACATTTTGGTCACAACAAGGCAGCGCCATCCGGTGGTGATGAAGTGCATTGCACCATAGTGCCTCACTTTTCTAAATAAGCACGGCCATGGTTTGTTTTGATATATATTGTAAGGTATATAATGAATAACGTTTTGGTAAAATACAATTTATTTTTATACTTTATTTTATTTAAATAATCTGTTTGAATAACCCTTACTTCTTAGCCGTCTCTTGTGCTGTAACTTGAAGTATCACTAATATCAATAATTTAAAAAAAAATAGTGATTCATTTTAAGTTTCAAGTATTAGGGAGTATTCATAAGTCGTCCTGTGGAATAATTGCAGCAGTAATGTATTCAGGTACCATTGAAGGTAAAATTAGTGAATGCAAATAATTAAATACATTTTTAAAACGACGACGAGGGTATCTGCAGAAAAATGACAACATAAACAACTCCAGCCAGCAAAAACCTGTAGGCTGTAGAATATGTGAATACTTTACATCGATCTGCAACTGACAATGGTTAAACCACAAACTGCAGACTACTACTACTAGACCTTAGCCACGAACAAACTCTCACCGAGTCTAGCCGAGACCATAGACTGTATTAAAGGACGACCAATACGAGAGAACTACAGTTCCCAGCACTCACTGCGCCTCCCTCTAAAGCAAACAAAGAAACACATACACTCACACAATAACAATAATGACCTAAATATTTCGTTATTATTAACAAAACAGCAAAACAATTCAGCAAAAATTATGTTAGCGACAAGTAGGCCTATAACCGCAAAAAAACCTACGCAAATCCTCGCGTGATTTCACGCTCCCGGAAGTTAGACTGGCACGAGAAAGAGAGCTGACCGAGGTGCTGACTACTGCTCGTCCTGCTTCTGACTTCTAAACCGGAATATTTCACATGTAGGCTGTTCCTACATGTTTGACTTTTAACAACGATACATCATCTAAGGTAAATGTGTAATATCTTTATTTTGGGATGAATAATTGTGTGCTATACACAAACCAAGCTCTTTCCTCTAAGCTGTTCCCACTAACATTATGATTGTATGGTAGAGTGGGATCTGTCTGTTACAGATATACTGAAGTGAAGTAGATTGTTTGTTTTTTTTGCACACACAGACACACACACACACACACACACACACACACACACACATAATATATGAGGGCAGGCTGAAACTGAACTACATTCTCTCAAAATGTCATTTAATTTGTTTTTCCAAATATTGTCAGAATTTGGGAAGATGGATGAACCTCAAGAGTCATCCTCCTGTGTCACCAACACCCACAACTCCCGCAGCAGCAGCCCTCCCAGTACCACACCTGGCAGTGCTCCACAATGCAACGGGGTTACAGAGTGCAGGACCCTGCTGCGGATGTCTGAGTCACATGGACTGCAGCTGCTGGGCATGCTCAGATCATTGAGGGAGCGAGGCTTGATGTTTGACTTCACCATTAAGGTCCAGGAACACAGTTTTCCCTGCCATCGCTGTGTCCTCGCAGCATGCAGCGATTTCTTCAGGTAGGTATCTATCTATCTATCTAGAGATCTAATTAATTCGCTAATATCAACTGCTTTGTATTTAGGGCCATGTTTGAGGTGGACATGCGCGAGCGTGATGATGGTTCAGTAACTCTGAGTAACCAGTGTCCGGTGGCAGTGGGTTCTTTCCTGGACTTTGCCTATTCTGGAGAAGCCCTCATCACTGATGGCAATGTGGACGTGCTGTTTCAGCTTGCTTCTTTCCTGCAGGTACAAATATAATCATTGTTCTTTCGTTTTCCTTAACGTACAGTACATAATACATGGTCTTGGCCAAGTTTGTGCCATAACCAGCGCCTTCTCGCCTGGGTTAGGGTTAAGATGTTACTACACAAAAAGTTTTACACATACACATTTTTGAAATGTCACAGTAGGAGGTGTAATAATAATATGAATGATGGCTGAATTCAAAATATCTGCTTTGGTTTCAGGGTCATGGTATTGTGCATGCTGGCTAACTGTCATGACTCACTGGGACACTTAAACGGAACAGAGCCATTGTTAATTAGTCATTATTAGTAACACTTGTGCTTTTCTTCAGTCAACATGTCTGCCACACACCTATGGCACACCCGCACACGTGTCTTCACTTATTTTGAATAATTAGGATTCGTAGCACCTGTTAGCATCGGACAACTTACAACTTTACTATCCTTATTGGTATATGAACCTTGGTAACCTTGTGTAATTCCCTGCATAGTTCCACCCAAATGGTCTAATCAAGTAAGTAAAAACGCCTGTGTGGGTTACAACTAGTTTAAAGGAATAACAGTTAACAAAGTTAACAAAGACACGCTTAGTTAATAAGATATTTCAGTTGTTCTACTACTTTACTTTACTCTAAATGTTTTTCATAATTTAATTTACTCTGTAAAGGCATTTAGACATTTTCACATGGATGGTTTCCTGATTGTTCTTATCGTTGTTGTGTCCTCAGGTGCCAGTCCTGTCCCGAGCCTGCAGCTCCTTCCTGATAGGAAACATGGATCTTTGTAACTGTCTGTCCCTCTTCTCCCTTGCTGAGGCCTACGGCTCAGCCTCCCTCCTCCAAAGTGCCAAAGAGTTTGTGGTTCAGAACTTCTCTGACCTTTCCGAAACCCAGGACTTTCTGGATATGCAGGTGCTGCTCAAGAACGGACAAGATAAAGAAGTTATTTTATCAGAGAAGGTTTCTGTAATAACAGATGTAGATCATTTGTTAATACATCCATATGTTCCTTTAACCTGTTTATACCTTGACTATATATTGCATATGTAGAGTGTGAATACTGTATGCCTGCCTCATTCTCAGTAATTAACATGACAGCTCTAAATCATATTCCATAGCCAGTAAACTGTAAGTTATTGTCCAACCTCTTGGTAATTTATATATATTAATATGATTTATCCATGTTAATGGAGAAGGTTGAGAAAAATGACCCCATCCCTTTTAGATGGCCTTTTAAAAAAGATATTGTAACAACATTTGTCTATATGTTTCAGCTGTCTTAGCCTCTCCTAGATCTTCCACATGGTGATAAAAAAAGGTTATGATTTAGATACTTTTATATTTATTTAATTAAAGGTTTTAAAATTAATCATCGAGGTCATGCATATAAAATGGGGCCTGTTTTATGTCAAAAGGTTTATAAATATTACACTTAAAAATCATAAGTCTGGTTTAGGTTGGTACCTGTCTGCCAAAAGGCTTTTGCTGTGTAAAAATAGTAATAGTAGTGAAAAAAGTGACCTGTGAACTGTTAAAAGGACTCATTTATTATTTCAATTGCTTCTTATAGGTGAATGTGTTGGAAGCATGCCTAAGGTCAGATGCTCTAAACGTGCCCAGTGAGGAGGCTGTGGTGAAGTCACTTTTTAGATGGATACGCCATGATCTCCCAGGAAGACAAAAGCTGTTGCCGGGCCTGTTATCTCTAACCAGACTCCACCATCTACCTGCACCTGCACTAAAGGTATAAGCACACGGCGTGTGCTGAATTTAGAATAATCTGAATGGTCTTGTGATTGTCTCATCCTTACCTTCTCTCCCTTCTCTCTCAGACTCTGCCTGATTCAGAGCCTCTCCTCTGCGAGAGTGAGGGCTGCCTCGCCCTGCTCTCAGAGGCTCAGAGCAGACAGGATCAGTACAGCAGCTTGCTCACTGATGCCAGGCCGGCCACCACGCAGAGCTACATCTACATCCACAAGACAGAGGAGAACGGAGAGATCCGCCATACCTTCTGCTACTGTCTGGAAACAGACCAGTGGAAAGATCTGGGAACAGGGTGCGGAGAGGGGAAAGCGAGGATGCCAGACCTACCGGGATCCTGCCTTACCAGCTATGCTGAGAAGGTATGTTTTGGGGTTGAACCGAGTCCTGCTACTGTTCTGAGCAGTGACCCTTTAAAATTAAGCAATGTCAACTTGGAGCCCCTTATTACAAGTTATAGCCCTGGTGTGGGCATGGGTTGTGAACAGTACGACCAAAGAGTGAGCTTTCCTTTCCAGATTGTTTCATTTAGAGGCCTCAAGATGTAAAAGTATTCATCATTTCACAAGAAAAAAACAAAAAAATAAACCTGACAGAAATCTTTTTTTTTTCTCTCTTACACCTTTTAATTAACTTTTTACCTCTGAGATTTATATTGATACCCCTTGGGGCATCCCGACCTCAAGGTTAGAAATAAGTGATTTAGAGAACAGCAGTAAAAAGAGGAGCGATGCCTGAACAGTTGGGAAATGTACATGTCTGATAAAATTAGGGAACAAAGAAATGGGGACCTGACCTATTTACAGTGTTTTGGAATTAATCATATAACTACATGTGTTTAAATTATGAGCTCTGTTATAGCTTTAAAAAGTTTACCATCTTCTCATCTTTCTGCTGGATCTAAGATGTTTGTGACAGGCGGTTGCCGTGGTAACTGCTGCCGGGCAATCCGTCTCCATGTGGCCGAGCCATTCCATGACGCCACGGACGAGGTTTGGTGCTTCTGCCCCGTGACCCTAACGTGCACGCCTGCTCCAGCGATGCTGAAGCCCAGGACCACTCACGCAGCTGTAACCTGCCTGGACCGAGTGTACGTCATTGGAGGACGGACCAAGGGATCCAGAGGGGGAGCTCCCAGCCTGCTGGAGGTAACACTGTCTCCTTAATATGTCATTACTAGATTATGGATTTAGGAATGGGAGTGTAGATTATTTCTGTACAGTACAAATTCTGTTAGTTTCTATCCTGTATTCTAGGTGGAGTATTACAACCCTCTGACCCAGACCTGGTGCTCAGTCAGCCCGCTGCCTACTGCCATCTTCTATCCTGAAGCTAGTGCTTGTGGCACTGTTATCTATACGCTGGGGTCAGAGGTGGAGATCACAGACTCCTTTAACCCCTCACTGGACTGCTTCTACTGCTATGATGCCCAGAAGGACCAGTGGAGCCGCCTGGTGGCAGAGTTTGGCCAGTTCTTCCACGCTACACTGGTCAAAGCAGTGTCAATTAATAATACACTGCACCTCTGTGACCTGTCCACTTATAAGGTAAGCCAAAAGATGAATGAATGAGCTGTCAGTCACTGGATTGCAGTGTTAAATCATTACAAAAGGCTTTTGTAATTGTCCAAGCAGGACTGTTTAAATAGTCAAACACAGAGTTCAAAGTGTGCCTTTCCCTCTCCCAGGTGTACAGTTTTTGTCCAGAGACCTGTGTTTGGAAGGGTGAAGGGTCATTTGAGTGTGCTGGGTTCAATGCTGGAGCAGTTGGTATGAGAGACAGAATCTACATCCTGGGTGGAGACTACTCACCTGACGAGATCACTGATGAAGTTCAGGTAAGAGAACCTTTTTATTGGTAAAAGCTGCCCTAATTTAACTTTTGTTGGCCAAGCAACGTCATGGTTTCTGGGGCTAAAAATGGAAGCCATCTGATGTGTCGACGGGTTTACTAATTGCAAAATGACTCTTTGCTTTCAAGAGACCTGGAAGAAGTGTTTGGTAGCTCACCAGATTGGCATCAGAATGAGCATTTCTAATTCAAATTGACACATGATATTAAACCACTGCAAGGAGGCCAAATATTTTTGTCAGCATGCCTGTCAGTTTTAAAGATACCATTGCATTAATTTTGATAAGATAGTGAGGAAATGAGGGAGAGAGATAGGGGCCGACATGCAGTAAAAGGGAGATGTATGCACAGGCTTCAATAAGAGAGAGAAACATGAGAAAGGAGAGACGTGAACATGGATGGACAAAGGCAGTGATGATGTGGGGATGTAAATGGATGAAGGAAAGGGAAAGGGAGGGTAAGTCAAGAAAACTAAGACAAACAGGAAAGAATGGGTTAACCGGGTGATTAGATGTGTGGTTGATGCGTGGCCCTGCTTCCAATCCTAACTTAACTAGTTAATTTAAAGTTAGTTAAATATATTACCTCATTAATTCTCTTTGTTTTTTGGAGCAGAGGGTGTTCGTTTACCATCCTCTTAGAGTTTTGGTATCTGTTTGTTTTCTTGTGGCCTGTGCAGGTGTACCACAGTGGGAGGAGTCAGTGGGAGGAAGTGGCTCCGATGCCCAGAGCGCTCACTGAGTTCCACTGCCAGCTCATCAGCTTCAACAGATACAGAGACCCATGGGCTGACACAGCCTGATACACATAGACACCCACACACACACACACTCTCATGAACACAATGCGAGTGGATATACATGTGTGTCACATGTGTCACTAATGTAAGCAAGTACCTATGAGTCTATCCTGTGCAAGGCGGACAGCTGACTGAGCTAACACCTCAAGAGAGAATGACTTCAACTAACACCACCATCTTTCACAGATCATTGTAACATGAGAACACCCGAGAGAGCCAAATGAGTTATTTATTTTTTTATTTAAAGATTTGATCCTGACCTTTGCTTGTGTGAAGCACCTGATTTCTTTGGATCTTTGTTGTGTCAATCAAAATATGGTCCTCCCATGGAGGAACACTATTGAGCAGAAGACTATTTTAGAAATCCTATTTTAGTAACTGAAACTCTTTTCCTGCTTAGGTGTGTGTAAAAAGGAGAATTCACCCACAGAAGAACTAACAGTATCTGTAAATTTATCAGCTTGAATATAGAAAAGACTTCTGTTATGTAACACTTTTGAGGCTCTATTTACAGGGTTTAGGACAAATTCAGTTTCCATTTCATGCATTTGTAGATTTTGCAGCCTTAAAGGATCGTTATTTTGTTCAGGCAAAAATACACAAAACACGTCATAAGTCATGTAAGGAAAATTCACAAGATAAATGAATAGTGGACTGTTTGAACTTCATTTCAGCTAAATGTGCTTTATTTGATTGCACAGATTAGACAACACACATTTTGTAATATTTTTAGAAAATGGTCCCATGTGTGGATCTCTCATATAAACATCATTGGAGCTTTTCCACAGTATTTTCCTGATTTTTACTTTCTTTCATCTTTTTCTAGTTGATGGAGACCTGCTCATATATATTACACTATATAAAACTCAACCAATATTTTCATTAACATTCATGGAAATTTTGTGTTTTGGGTGGATTTTCACTAGAAGTACTTGCCTTTGTTCTGCTTCAGACTGTCATGTATCCACACGTACCCTGTCTCTTCTCTCACAATATATACAGCAATGCTACATGTAATATATAGATCACCTGATTATCTTCCGTAACTGCTCGCTTGATGAAATGTGCATCTTAACCCATCAATTACAGAGAAACACTCTGCGGCTTCAACAAATACAGTAACTTAAAGTTTTAAAAACCAAGAGCCTTCATGAGGGTTCATGGTGTAAATGATGAATGCATAATACATTTGTGCAATGAAACAGAAAAATACTTCAACAAATGAAAGACTATTTAATGGCAAGAAGTGAATATAAACATAATGCTTCATTATATGTGTTGATGTCTTCTATGGGTAAATACAGCATCTGCATTTGGCACATTCATCACATAGTGAAAACAGAACAATAGACACAACAGCATGGTTCAAAGTATCAAAGGTCACGTGAATGACACTTTGACACGGGCTATATGCTACTCTTTATAGTGACATTACAGTGTTTTCTAGCCCTCACTTTAAAGGTGTCCACAGTAAAAAAAGTAGAGCCTCAAACCCCTGTTCATTTATTTTTATTCACCCTCCCATCCCTTCTGTGGCTTCCCCTTTGGATCTTGCCAGAAATTTAAGGCCATGTTCAAAAAACATTTCAGAATACAAATGCTGATCCAAGACTAGTTTGTCATTGACAATCTGCTTATCTGGCTGTAGCAATCACATGTTTTTTGACCTCACTGGAATACTAGAGCCCTGGTCAAGACCAGTAACCACAGACTACAAGAATGAAAAGATGTAAACACTGTGTCTGAACAAGAATCAATCCGCAGCAAAGGTCTACAGCAACCATGCTGGCGTCATCTCCTCTCTTGTTGCTCCATGGTTCAGTCCTGGTAAGATTTCACTAGCAGCCACATCAGCAGCACAGTGATTAAGACGATTGTGAAGTTGAGGAAGAGGTCCTGAACCGAGCGGTCCATGTCTGAGATGGGACGGGGAGCAGGAGAGGATCGGAGAGTGGGTGCTGAGAAGTTGTGGGTGCTGCCACCGAGGAAAGAAGACGACAAAGAGGAGGTGTGGCCTTACTGTCCTGGACCTGAGAGCAATGAAAGATATGAGTTAAGACTGCAAAAAATACAGGTATGATCAGACCAAAGCAAATAAGATAGCATTGGAAAAAAATAGTAAACGCATGTGTGGTTGTCTTCAGAGGCACCTGTGATTGTGTGTGCATGTATGTCGCCTCTGTTCTCATAGATTAGAAAAATCAGTAATTTTTCAGGCAGCTCGATACATCTCTTCCCTGTTCCCATCACTCAACAGGGAGAGGGGCCACAATATCCCCTCATATACACACATGGGACACATCCACAAAGCATACATCCTAATACACTAATACACACACGATCAGGTTAGAAAGAACTGTAGGTAGTTGTTGATAGATGAAAACATCACATTTTTGCACATTATTTTAGCTACATTGAGCCAATCCCTTTACAACCCACTGAATTTTTATTTTATTTCTTGGTTGTCAGTTGCAGAATTTTAGAAACATTTTGATTGGATTGGAAGCCTACCATATTCTCCCAGCAATGACAACACTATTGAGAATGATAACACACAATCAGATGTAGTCAGTAAGCTGTTACCTACGTGGTCCAGCCTCTCTTTGTCTTGACCTTTGATAGCTTGTCTTCTTACTAGAAAGTTCTTTACTGTGGCACCTCTTCTCTGCAGCATCTGTTAGCAACTGATCTTCATGCTGTTGTCCAGTTTCTGCGCTTGCCAGGGGCAGGGCCTGCTCCTAAAGTAGCCATCCTCAGCGGACCGCCCATATTTCACATACACAGAGACTGATGTCACACACTAAACAACCAATAGAGTCGGTTATTTTCCACAATCTCATCCACTGGAGTGTTTCCCATCTATAACCATACAGAGTCTCTCTCTCTCATGCACATGCTACAGAGGAGGGACTCTGGGTTATTTATAAAACATTATTGCAGATACTAGGTGGATTACAGTTGTTCCAAACACAATACTTACTCAGTCTTCTGATGGATATAGGAAACTGTAACAGTATCGCTCAGTATCTGGATAGGAGCTATGCACAAGGGAAAATAATAAATAACAATGCAACATATGAGGTGTGTTTAAATCCAGCTGATGCCGCAGTTCATCATGCTGTCATGTCTTTCCATAGTCATTTAGGTACTTTGAAAGGAGTACTTTCATGACACATTCAGTCTCTTCTGCCACTGTATTTAACTTACTTTCAACATTCTTCCTGGCTGCTGGATGACAACTATAAAAGCATATGTAGGTCATGTGAAATAGTGTCTGGCACTCATAAAGTGGTTTCTCTTAACTGATGCTTCAACAGGCACAGGCAACAGGGCTAAATGAGATTCTGCTCCCCTCAGTGAAGTGTAGACAGGCTGTACCAATCAATCTCCATCTGCATACTTCAAGAAATAGTTATGTTTTGGGAAATACGCACGTTTTCTTTTTTTGCCGAGAGTTACATGAAAGGATAGATACTCTCATGTCTGTAGGGCAGATGGTTAGCCTAGCCTAGCATAAAGACTGGAAATAGGGAAGCAACTAACCTGCCTCTGTCCAAAGATAGCAAAATCCACCTACTAGTGTCTCTGGGTTTTTATCTGCACAAAAACCAAAGTGTAAAAATGACATGCTGTGGTTTTACAGGGTGTTATGTACCAGACTATTTCTTGACGGGTGTGGTGACTTCCTACAGTCTTGTCATCACCATTAGTTTGCCAGACAACCAGTGGAGATTCCCAGTAGTCACTGCTCCCAGCCAAAAAGTAGTCCTGTAACCCACCTTAAAATCCTCAACTTTATCGTCATCATCATCATTTTCACACTTTTCTTGTTTTTTTCCCATGCTAGCCTTTTCCTCCTGCTTCCAGTTTTATGCTAAGCTAAGCTAACCAGCTGCTGGCTATAGCTTCATATTTACTGTACAGTCATGAGAGTGGTATCCATCCTTTTATCTAACTCTGCACCATAAGCAAACAAGCATATTTTCCACATTAACATATAGATGTTTTTTAAATTATAACTGTGGTTGTGTACACCCATTGTATTTTTGCATTCTTCCTCCTCTATGTTATGCTGGCGCTAAGAGAAGGTTCTGACAGCTCGCCATAGCGAACCTCTCAGCTCATCTAACACTTGACAGCTGCTTACAACAGTGTTATCTCTGAACTAATGTTAAACCCCCTTGGCATACACACACACCTTCTCCCAAACACACAGAGGGGTCACAGCAGGATAAAGTGTGTATGATCACAGCTCCCTTGAACCTTTCCATCACAGGATTCCAAGGTCATTCCCAGAGGATTTAACAGATCAAAATGGCTGCCATTTTATCACCCTGCTGCTCTGCCAGCGTCAGACAAATAGCTATTTGACCCAGGGATTCCCATTGTAACAGAGCTCCAGTGCTGGGGTGATTTAATAAAACAGGGTGAGGTGTGCAGGCATCTCTCGTGGACCACGAACCACTCTGACAGCTGTGTGTGTGTGTGTGTGTGTGTGTGTGTGTGTGTGTGTTAAGATAGAAAAGTGCTGGCAGGGTTACCCTTTAAATCAGTGGAGAGACAGAGGGGTGTCAACAAGGCCTCAGAGACACCATTCCACACATTCTGGGACACTGTGTGTGTGTGTGTGTGTGTGTGTGTGTGTGTGTGTGTGTGTGTGTGTGTGTGTGTGTGTATGTAGACTAGACTACTGTTTATTATCAAGTGAAAGCTAGTTTGATGACAGCTTGCCAGCTGTGAGTGTTATGGCAAAATAAAACAGTGGACAAGTCTGATCATCACAGTATTCTTCCAAGACAGCTTTGCAACCATTTGTTTACAACCAACCATTGTTGGGCAGTAATGCGTTACTGTAATAATATTAATTTCCCCAGCAACTAGTAGTGTAACAGATTATATTATTACAGTTACTAATCCAAGTAACGCTGCATTAGCCAAAAAGCTAAAGGAAGAATGGAGAACGAGGGAGAGACGCATTCTTTCCACAGCTGAACTTCCATTATTGTGTCACAGTCTAAGATGCAAAGAACATTGTTGTCGTTGTAAACGTTGTGCGACCAGCAAAAAGCTTCCAACCGACAACAATTGTACATTTAATTTATTGAAGCATCTGCTCAATAATTAACATGTTAGGCTTTTTCTCTTGTGGTTATGAGAGTGGTATCGATCCTAAACATAAGATTTATTCAATTTATACCAAACAGGTCTATCTAATAATTATGAAGGAGTCATTCAAGGGTGAATAAAACTTGACAAGGACAATAACTTAACACTAAACAAACCCTATGAAACTAGAGCCAGGAGATGATAAGCTTAACTTAGCATAACTGAAGACTGGAAGTCAGGGGAAACAGCTATCCTGACTGCCCAAAGGTAACATAATCCACCTCCTACCAGCACTTTTAAAAGTCACTAATTAAATCAATATCTCATTTGTACAAAAACAGAAATGTAATAATGCCAAATTGTGGTTTTGCTAAGCTAAACTAATTGGCTGCTGGGTCTAGCTTTAATAAAATAATTTAAAAAATATAACTCAAACACAAGATTTAATTCAGAAAATGAAAGGTTTTCAGCAAAGCATTGCCCTAATGCTCTTATTCAGTGAATACAAAATGTCCCGCAGTTTGGCCAGCACATTAGTCTACAAATAGCTGGCACTAAAAAAGTATTTATCCCATAGCTTTGCTCATTTAAAGTGTCTAATCTTTCCACTAAAGCAGCAGTGACTGGAGGAGAGACAGGCATTCATCTTAGCTGACAGAGATGATACATACACCAGATGGCTCACCAAATAAAATTCTCAGCCCTGTTAATATTTGGCCAGTTGAAATATTATGTTATGAACATCAGATCTGTTGCCAAAGACCTCTACTACTTCTATCTCTGTTGTATATCCATTTTTGCTTCCATTAGTCAATGTATAGACTGACCATTTACTTTCGTCAATGCAAAAGCATATGTCTTCTTTTGTTGATATCTGTATAATGCAAGACAAACCCTTGGCTGTATTTAATAATTACCATGAAAACATGTCAAATGTACGGAAGCCCTGAGAGGCAAGTGAGAGTTGTAAAACTCATTCCGGCCACAAGAGGCTGATGTGCACCACTACCCCTTGGTCAAATAGGACATTCATGTTTTCTTCCAGGTGAAGCACCAATTAAAATACATTCCTTTATTGTCAAAATGCATTCATTTTCAAGACTTAGAAAATGGATTTCTTTTTTCTCACTTGCCTCTCAGGGCCTCCGTACATATGCCTTGGTTGCTTATCAGTTATATTTCCTTTTTAATTAAATTTGCCCTAGAAATGATCATGCAGCAAAAATATTTCAGTCTCTGGAAATAAGTCACAAAAGAACAGTAGAATCAGAATTGGTGCATATTTGCATGTGTTCCATCAAACCACTTGCAGATTTCAGAAATATATGCATATGTATCTTGAATAAATGCTGAATAAATCAACTTTGTCACTGTGTGCAGTTTTGGGCGATACATTTCTGCACTTTCAACCGGCTGTTTCATCACCTCAGTTTTTTTTTTTTTATCATTTTCATCTGTCTCCAAGATCAGACAGATATTTGCTTACACAGAGTCCCTGGAGAGCGGTAGAGATCAGAATCTCTATTTTAAAAAGCCGGATCTGGTTTCTTTATCCGTCTATCTCCGTCATGCAGTCTCCATCTCATTACAATAGAAAGATGCCAGCTACATGAGTTTGGCCTGTGGCTACTGGCCCTGCATTTCAAAGGGTGATGGCATGCCTCAGGGTACACAAGTGGTTCCACTCTAGTTCTCACCTTTACACTGCTTTTTCAGAGATTGGCTGATGTGAGAGGTGAAGCTGCCCTTGAGAGCACTACCAAGGGAAATATCTTCCTAATCTTCAGTTCATAACCTTAAAGTAACATTTCCACTTGGTAGAACAGTGACACTTGTCCCATCACATTCATTGTTCACAAGTTCCTGAATGCCTGACCGAGTCTAAAATATGTTTGGTAAAATGATTCTTGGGATGGGAAGAGGTACATAGTTTGTTGTTGACTGTGGAAACAGCAGTTGAGAAATAAATTTCACTACAAAGTCATGTCACATAACCCTCATTAGCAGATAGATCATTCATCAGCTATTAAGTGAGCTTTGTGGTGAGATCGTTGTCTCAACTTCTGTTTGCAAGGTCAAAAATTTACTTTGAACCTCAGTTAAGTTTAAGACAACATGAATTAGAAGTCCTTAAAGTACAAGTAACAAGTAACTGCTCCATTTGCTGAGGAAGATGTGATATGTTTGAAAGCTCCAGGACAACTACTAAATATGATCCGAATGTTTTTTAAACATTTAGGAAGAAACAAAGTTAGACACTGGTTTACAAAGGCAAAAAATAGAGTAAAATGGAAGCACAATTGATTTTTGAATCTTTTGAATCAACTCATCTTGCCCCTGTTTTAATACAATTGTCTCTAGGATTGTCACAAAGTACACTGGAGGCAGCCTTGCTGCTATACTGGCCCTGATTAATGCCCCAACAAATGGGCCAGACTAATGTCTCTGGGTATTATCCAATGCCTATAAAATAGGGAAGATTTTTATTGGACTGTTTTGAAAAACAAGATGGAGCGTTGTGTGCATGGCGGAGAGGGCAGTCACGGTCTGCTGTCTGACCAGCTGTTGTTTTGTCGACTAAATTGAGCCTGCTGTTAAGACAACGAAGGGTTCCCACTGGCCAGCAGCTCAGCCTGGCACT